ACAAAGACCTACTTGTAAGAGACTAAGAGACTCTTCTAAGAGCCATCAGAGACTAAGATATTTGTTCTCTGGCTCCTTACGGAAAAAGTTTGCTGACTCTTAGCATAGATCAAAAGACCTAAATGGTCACATCTTAGTTAGCTTTCCTCTTTTCTTGAGCTTACAAAGAGGCAGTACATAATTTTCTTTTAACAGGAATTTTGTGATCAAAATTTTCTTTCTGTTTTCTTCATAACCACCCCCTGTGCCCTTTAGAAGTTTAATTTGAGACTCTGTTGTTTAAGACATTGGGATAGACTGCTGATACAATTAGGACTTCTAAAGAAATGTTTAATGGTTCCGGCTGCTTTTTGGAACTGGAAATCTTGGTGAATTGACCAGAATATTCGTTGTTAGGAAAAGACATTAGTAAAAAGTGTCAGGCATTTGAAACCAGAGCTAAGTAATGACAAAGGATATCAAGTTTTAAAGGAAGGAAAGAGTGAAAAAATAGTCAAATCATTTAAGGGGCAGTGACAATTTAAGGCTGAACGTGAGGTGCAATCAAACCACCACTGGCAACAAAAGGCGCGCTGAAGACCATTTTCATGTGACTCCTAAATCTGGTGCGTGTCTGTCCAGGTTGTCACGGCCGTGTGATGAGCTTATCTATCCTAGCTTCCACAATGGCTGGTGTGGATCGACTCGCCCGAATCTGGGGCTTTGAAGATATTCACAAATCCTCACGTTCTTGAAATGTGCAGTCTCTGATTAGTGGGCATTCATCTTTAGCGGTGTTCCTGACTGTGCGTGCCAGGGGACATTTGGCAATGTCTGGAGACAGCTTTGGTTGTCAGCTGAACTGGGGGGGAGCTTGCTCCTGGGATTTATGTGGTGGAGGGCTGGCCACTAAACGTCCCACAGGACACAGGACAGTCCCGCACTGCAACAAATTATCTTGCCTACAAGGTTGATAGTGCCAAGACTGAGAAACCCTGATGTGTAGGAGGAGGTGAGATTTCTCAATGTGAGAATCATTCTGTCGTCAAATTCTCTAACAGTATGTTTATCATTGGACTGCCTATTCTTTATGGCCATTGAAATTCCTCTTTCCTGTTGTGGCTAGGATAGAAGTTTCCTCCTTAAATTAAAAAAATTTTAGTTAAAAAGTCTATGCAAAGTTGTTAATAAAAACTAGTATAGATGGTATGCAGATACGTTGTTTAAAATATGAAGGAGATGGTTGAATGGATGAGTTGTAAGAAAAGAACTGTCTTAAGCTGTTAAGTGAATGTCATTCTCAATGTGTCTTCCTTTGCACCTTTTAACAACGTCCGTGTTAATCTAGCCGGTCTCCACACCTTACCACGGTCAGAGTCCTGAGTCCCCCTGCCTCATTTTCTCTAAACAACACTGAGATAGTCTGGTAAGTGTTTAACCCCTTGGTGCTACATGGCTTTCCTCGTGTTCTCAGGACAGGAAGTGCATGGCGATGGGAATGGGGAGTTCACTCTCCCGAGCAGATGAGAGTTCCGCCTTCCGTGTGTCTCTCAAACTCCAGACGGTCACCCATGCTGCCCCGGAGGCCACTGGTTGGAAAGCACACCCCTCAGGGGCCCTCAATCTGGAGCCTTGGCTGGGGGGACCTCTTTGTGGGCAGTCCCAGCGGGAAGCGCTGTCTTGTCTGAAAGTCCTTATGCGTATTTATGGTTGGCTTGCAAATTGCAAACGAGAATACTTGGGGAATGAGTTCAAGAGCAAATGTGTCTGGCTGCACCCCAAGAGGCCCCGATTCAGGAGACCTTGGCTAATCTCTAGGAATAAGCACATTTAACAATCCCTGGGAGTGATGTCCGGCCACCTGTGAGAGCCGACCAGTTTGTTTTCATCTATTCCGCATGGACTTCCTAGCCAGTAGTTCCAGGCAGTGTTGCGTGTGAATTTGTATGGTATTTATGTTTGCCGTTATTTGATTATAACATTGCACTCCCCCCCCACTACTTAATAAACACAAAAGAAAAACAAAAGAAGTGAGAAATAAAAATCCCCCATGCTTCATACCGATGGATTAGATGGCAATCATAGACATGCGGAAAGTGAGGAATCTTTAGGTTGCATTCAACAGCCTTTGGACATGAGCCAGATGCATACTGGTTCAATTGTAAAGAAAATGAACATCAACGGAAAGAGTTAGAAATGCTGCCACTCAGGCTCGGGTCTGAAATTGAGGCATAATTAACAAATTTTATCTGTCTAACTCGCTGACAATGATTTTCTGCAGTAGCAGCGTATTTCTTGCACGCCTTTGGTATGCTCAATTTCAAACGCATTTTCTGGGGTGTATACAAAAGAAAGTGGTTGCCAATAATAGAATGACAGTGAGAAACCTATTTTCTACACCTTTTATTTGAACAATCCGAGTGACAGTCACTCTCACTGTAATTACAGTAATCGGGGGGCTGTCAAGTTTTCAGGGAGCCGGGTGTCTCATCTGCTATTCAGACCTAAGTGAGAAGTCGGTGAGACTTCTATTTGCCAGCCATAGTCCCGAGAACGTTCATTGTCATGGCTGCCTCGCCATCCTGAGAGGGATGCTTGAACCCTTTCCAATGATTCTTATAAGTTGAGTTCTTAAAGTTACTTAGCGTACGTGGTTACGTAGACTGCGGTCTGGCTGTAGAAGCAGTAGCACGGTGAAGTGTGGAGATGGCCGTCATTAGATTAGGCTGTAAGTTTAAGATCTTGGGTAAATAGCTCAATGTGTTTTTTTTCATTAAAAATTTTTTAAGTGCTTTATGTTGAAGTAATTATAGATTCACATTTAGTTATAAGAAATATTGCACATAGATTCTGTGCTTTTACCCAGTTCCCCTGGTGATAACATCTTTGAAGTTACAATGATGTATTATAAGCAAGATATTGGCATCCACGCTGTCAAAACACGGGCCAGTTCATCACCACAAGGATTCCCTGTGGTGCCCATTATATACACCCTTCTGCCCACCCCCCCCAAACTGACCACCACTAACTGCTTTCCATAGTTTTGTCATCTCAAGGATGCTATAAATGAAGTTATATAGTATGTAACCTTTAGGGTTTGGCTTTTTTCTCCCACTCAGCATAATTCTCCAAAGGCTCATTCGAACCGTTGTGGCATTAATAGTTCATTCATTTACATAGCTAAGGAACATTGCGTGATGGGGAGTTTTGCTTCACCATTTCCCCATTGAAGGACCTGCGGGCTGTTTCCGGTTTGGTGCTGATACAAATGAAGCTGGTCTGAACATTCTTGTTCCAATTTCTTTTGTGGGAAGTTTGCGTTTCGCTGGGGTTGATTGCTCAGAGTGCAACTGCCGGGCCTATGTTGCTTGTTTAGACTTTTGAGGAAATTGCCAAACTGTTCCGGAGTGGCTGTACCAGTTGACATGTCCACCAGCGAGTGTGCGGGGGCCAATTTCTGTGTATCCCTGTCAGCCTCGGGTGCTGTTCTTATTGTTATTATTATTGTTTACTTTAGCCAATAGGATTGGTGTGTAATGATGTCTCGTGGGTTTTTTTAAGATTTTATTTATTTATTTTTAGAGAGGGAAGGGAGGGAGAGGGAGAGAGAGAGAAAGAGAAACATCAATGTGCGGTTGCTGGGGGTCATGGCCTGCAACCCAGGCATGTGCCCTGACTGGGAATCGAACCTGCGACACTTGATGTCTCATTGTGGTTTTAATTAACGTTTCCCTGACAGCTAATGATGTCGAATATCTTTTCCACAAACGATTCAGTCATCTGTGTCTCCTCTTCCCTGAAATGTCTGTTTAAGTCTCTTTTGGTCCATTTTGTAATTGGGTTGTTTCTTTGCTGTCGGGATTGGAGAGATCTTTGTATATTCTAGAGACGAATCCTTTGTCAGATAACGAGATTTGCAAATATTTTCCCCCAGTCTGGAGCTGTCCTTTCATTCTCTTACCAGGTTTTCACGTAGCAAATGCAGTAAGTCCTGGTGACATCCGCAATTTGGCAAGTTTTCTTTCACGGACTATGCTGTTGGCATGACGTCTAAGAACTCTTTTTTTTTAAAGATTTTATTTATTTATTTTTAGAGAGGGAAGGGAGGGAGAAAGAGAGAGAGAGAGAAACATCAATGTGCGGTTTCTGGGGGCCGTGGCCTGCAACCCAGGCATGTACCCTGACTGGGGATCGAACCTGCGACACTTTGGTTTGCAGCCCGCACTCAATCCACTGAGCTATGGCAGCCAGGGCTGAAGTCTAAGAACTCTTTGTCCAGACCTAAGTCCCAAACATTTTCTCCTTTTTCCCCCTGGAAGTTTTATAGTTTTGTTTTATATTGAAGTCCATTTTGAGTTAATTATGTGTAAGATTGGTGTTTCTGGTTAAAGTGTTTGCTTTTCCCTCATGGATGTTCAATGATTCCAGCATCATTTGTTTGAGAGCCTACGCCTTCTCCATTGAATGCCTTCTCCGTTTTGATCTCCATGGTAGAGCCCTTGATAAATCAATGACTATGCAAAATGAAAGCCCAAAGAATTGATTTTCATTACTGTGTTATTGTACTGATACCTTTGGATATTTCAGAATCAACATGCAGAGCTGTCTCTTCCTCGGGCTGCCAACGAAGTCTTTAGAAAGTATTGGACCGGGGTCCCCAGATTTACTGGCATTTGAAAGCAGAGCATGTGCCGCGAATGCCTATATTCTTTGAAATGATTTGAGGTTTTTATCTCTGGGACTTTTTGTCAAATATTCCTACTGATAGTGTTATCAAAACATGAAGAAATTTGCCTTCAAATCCTTTCTTTAAATTTCAGCAATTATCAGAATGACATAATACACTCTTGTGAAAACGATTTTGGTTTTTTAAATTTTACTTCCCCAGGCATCATCACGTTTATGGCTTCTGAGTATTTCACAGGTGAAACTGTCAAAAGGAAAACATTTTGATGCAAATGTCATTACATCATATCTGAGGGGGTAGTGAGGCTGAACGCAGTCTTCGTACTTTCTTTCAGATTTATCAGCGATGCTGGCTAGTATTCAAGAAGGCCTCCAGCAAAGGTCCAAAGAGACTGGAGAAATTTTCCGATGAGCGAGCTGCGTATTTTAGGTGTTATCACAAGGTAAGACGCCACTGCGCTAGCTTTCTGGAAATCTCTTCATAGGTAGGTAACCCAAGTTCATTGAGTCTGGAAACCTGTCTAGATGGTTTGACCCAAGTACAAATCTTTCTTTTGCCAAGCACAAAACATCTCTACAATAATATCTTCTTGCTCATTGTTTAAGATAATTGGCTACTAACATTCACGGCGGCATGGGTGGACCTGGAGAGCATTGTGCCAAGTGAAAGAAGTGAAAGACAAATACCGTATGAACTCACCTGTTAGTGGAAGCTAATCAACAAAAAAGATAAGCAAGTGAAATATAACCAGAGACATCGAACTAAAGGACAAACTGACAGTAATGAGAGGGGAGCGGGGAGGGTGATAACAGGGGAAAGAAGGGGCACTGTCGTCAGGGAACGTGTATAAAGGACCCACGGACAAAGCCAAAGGGGGGATGGGTAGAGGGCGGGGTGGGGGGAGAGTGGTGGTGGGAAAATGGAGACAACTGTACTTGAACAACAGTTAAAAATGCAAATAATAATAATAATGATTGCCTAATGTAAAGCCATGTTAGTGGTTTCCTGCTACTTGTTGTTGTTTTCCCATCTCTAGTGTAAGAACTTACCATGTTGTTTTGTAGATTTTCAAGTTGTATAGTAGCCCCTATTCCAACATCAAAGCCCCCTGAGGGTAGGAGTTGGGTCTCATGGAACCTAGCACAGTGCCTGGGGCAGAACAGACCCTCATGCAGAGCTTGGGGAGAGGGGACTGGGGTGGGGGCGGGGGGACAGCTGGGAAACGGGTGATTGGCGGAGGAGGTGGAAGTACCACTAGTTTATTTCTTTAAGTTGGATGACTAAATTTCATTCAGATTTCCAGTTTCTTTAGCAGTAATGGTGGTAGTAGTAGGGAGACTTCCTCACTAAATAAAAATAGTCATTGTGTGTTACTGTGCATCATTCAGTGGGAAGTTCAGGTCAACACAAGGTATACTTACTGATTGGATTCACAGATTAGCCAGGTCTTTCCCTCTGCATGGCAATGTTGTCATGGTCCTCGTTACTGGGCAGTCCGTGTATTTTCTGTTGTTTCTTTTTTAAGATTTTATTTATTTATTTTTAGAGAGGGAAGGAAAGGAAATAGAGAGAGAGAGAGAAACATCAATGTGTGGTTGCTGGGGGTCATGGCCTACAACCCAGGCATGTACCCTGACTGGGAATCGAACCTGCGTATTTTCTGTTTTCATGAAAATGTGGGAAAGGCCACGGGAAACACCTCTTTTCCCCACGTCTCTGGCTATTCCTGTATTGAGAAAACACTACTCTTTTGACTATGGAGGGACCATGCTTATTGTTATGATAGAATATTGTAATTGTTTTGGGTTTTCCATATTGAAGATCCTTATCTGCATTTGGTGAGGATTTACCAGGGGGCTACTTGCCATTTATGTGAAACCAGTCGGTCCAGGAGCACAGAAATTTGGCTAAGTGAGGGAAAGTGGATAATCTGTCCTTTCACGCAAATTCTCCAAAAGGGGTGACTTTGCAGCATCTCATTAAGGACCCGTGTTGACCCCTTGGTTTATACAATAAATTACTATGGTCATTTTAAAAAAGATTTTATTTATTTATTTATAGACAGCGGTGAAGGGAGGGAGAAAGAGAGGGAGAGAAACATCAAATTGTGGTTGCCTCTCATGCGCCCCCTCCTGGGGACCTGGCCTGCAACCCAGGCATGTGCCCTGACTGGGAATGGAACTGGCCACCCTTTGGTTTGCAGGCCAGTGCTCAACCACTGAGCCACACCAGCCAGGGCCTATGGTCATTTTTTTGTAGCAGCCTGCAGAGACTCTTGTTCCGTGTGGTCCTTGTGCGTGGCGCTTCCTTGTTTGGGCCGAATCCCACGTGCATCTGGAAATACCTGATTCCTCACCATCCCCTCCACCTACCTTTCAGAAAGTAGAAACATGAAGAACTAGGCTATGCTTTGCTTGCAGACCTACGCATACCTGAGAGAAGAGGACAAGCAAGGAACACTTTGCAGAAACCCCCACACCCAGTCCCCCAGCGAATGGTGCTGGCTCTGTGTTCCATGGACACAGAGACTCAGAACACTCTCGAACCCTTGGCCGCTCCTGCTGTGGCCCAGGCCCTCTGGGCTGCCCGATTCTCGGCCCTCCAGACTCTGTCACGGCCTGTGTCCATCACCTCCTGATGGTCCAGCTCCCAGCCCTCAGCCGGGTCCTCGTGGTGGGCTCCACACTCGCGTGTTTGCACTCTCCATAGCCTGCGGCACCCGGCCTGCACCCTTTCCCGGGTTCTCTTCTTCGCTGGGCTCCAGGCGCCCCGGGCTCCCGGCGCCCCCAGGGTCTGCCGAGCACACCCTCCCTGGGACTCGTTGTTCTCTTCCCTCGGAATCCTGTCCCGACAAATACTCGGGCCACTCATTGCCTTCCTTTGCCCGAGTCATGGCTTAAGTTTTTGTCACAAAATGAAGCCATTTCTTTTTTTAAAAAAATTTTAAATATTTATTTATTTTTAGAGAGGGAAGGGAGGGAGAAAGAGAGAGAGAGAGAGAAACATCAATGTGCGGTTGCTGGGGGCCGTGGCCTGCAACCCTGGCATGTGCCCTGACTGGGAATCGAACCTGCGATGCTTTGGTTTGCAGCCCGTGCTCAATCCACTGAGCTTCGCCAGTGAAGCCATTTCTTGGCCCCATTATTTTAAATGGAACACCCTCTGGTACCTCCCCCACCCCAACTCCCTTTATTTTTCTCTTTTACACTTAGGTATTCACTCGGTTGTTTCTTAATTGTCTTCACCACTGACCACCATACAATAAGGTCCCTAAGGGCAGATTTTTTTAGGGGGGATGAGGGGGGGTAGGCGTGGTTGTCTATTAGTTATTAGCACCTAAACACAGTACACACGTTTTACGGTATTGGCTGGACCGCAATGGATATTATCAGTAGAGGACGTGGAGCACATATAGATGTCTCTGTTTCAAACCTCTGCTCAGCTTGCCAGAGAAAATCTGTACCTGAGACATCTACAGCCAGGAAAAGGGGTTTTTGGTTTGGAGGAAATGGGGGAGTGAGGATGGGAGGCAGAAAAAGCCAGGATTGGGAAGTTTTCTGGGGACAGACTCAAAGGAAGTCCAAGTGGATTGGAAGATCCCCCTTGAGCATGAAACAAAGCGAGGGGAGATGGAGGGCAAACTTGCCCTGTCTCCTACTTCGCCCTCCTGGCTGTGGAATTTAATATGTAAATCTTTGAGGAACGTGGTGAGGCAATTCTCTTTCATCTCTCATCGTCATTAACCAAAGTTCAAAGCATTAGAACGGCAGAATTATCTACATTAAGCCTCCAAGCCCTTGATGAGTTCCTGTAGCCGGATTCATCCTTCTTATTCTTTTAGATCTGATACATTTCGCATTAATCTCTTGGGGCATACAAAAAGCCGGAGTAACCCTTGAGTTATGCATCTTTTTTTATCTAAATGCTGTGTAATTTATGAATCTTGATAATATAATACCAGGGTTGTAAGTAGCATGCCGTGACTGGATTTCAGAGTGTACTCCTGTAGATAAAGCCATTTCCAAAATAAATGAGGGCTTGTACATGACGCTGTTTGGTCAGTACCGAGGTGGTGTGTGACTTCAGCGGACGCACCTGCCCTGCAGGGCATCTGCAGCATTTATGAGAACACGGTGCTTCTTTCATTTCATATTGAAAGGTATTACTAAGAAAAAAATGCCAGTTTTGCCTATCTGATCCTTCGTCGAGGTGTTAAGACAAGAAATTGGCTGGAGAATTTTGAAAGTCGGTGCCTTCCTCCCTGCAAACGCAGCCAGCGGTGCTCCTGTGCAAACACCGGAAAATAAATGCATGAATAATGCACGCATAGAACGAGTCATTTTTCATGCCTTTACCTCCTGCGGGAAGCGCCCCCAAGCACTGGCGGCTGGCTGGCCGGCAGGGATGCCCGCGCGTGTGATGGACTGGAATTGCGACTGTGTTAGCACTTGAGTGACTTCACCTGTACAGTTCCTTCAGGTTAAGCATGAGCCCACTGTTTTCATTCAGAAAATCAAAGGCATTCACCATCACCAGAAGGGGCTGAGCATTGCTTTGCGTAGTTTTCCTTTTTTTGTAATGAGGAATGATTGGGAATCGGAGTGGAAGGAAGACCGTCTCTTTCTTTTCCAACCAAGGCCGGCGGCATGGCGGCGGGAGTGTGCTGGCCCCGATGTGGGAGAGCTGTTTGCTAACCCTGGCCTTGCTGCTCTGCGTGTCCTGCACGTGCCTTACCTTCTGTGTCACGGGGACCTCCAAGGCCACTCCCGCTGTGGCTCCTCCATCATCATTGCAGGGTTCAGTTCGCCTTGGGCCAGAGGGACGAATCCCACAATTTCTCGAACCTACTGTTTGCTGAAATGTGCGTGAGAGAGCGTGGCGAAGGAGAGTTCTGGGAGGACCAGGGATCCTGGGGTCAGATCTGGGAACTGCAGCTTTGCCATCCCGTTTTTGAGGTTCCTAATCCACGGTGATTTGTGGAGGCTCTGGGGAGTTCTGCTGTTGGGATTTTACCCCTTTTTTTAACCAGATTTTTTTTTTTACTATTGTATATGACAGGGTTTTAAACAAAGATTAAATACTAGTTTTGGGGTTTTTTTGTGGTTGTACACATTTTCTCCTGTTCCATAGCTTCTCTTTTCATCCTTTTAACGGGGTCTTTTCAGAAAAAAGTTTGAATTTTGATGTGGTCTCGTTTTGGGATTTATACTCTCCCGGCTCACGCTTTTGCTGTCAAGTCTAAGCACGCTTTGCCTAGCCTTGGATTCTGAATGTTTTCTCCCAGTTTTGTTGTTTAAAAAATTTTAAATGTTTTATAGTTTTAAGTGTTACATTTAAGTCCATGATCGTTTTGAGTTTAATTTTTGTGTAAGGTGTGAGATGCGGATTGAGTTCCATTCTTTTTATGGATGGCTGTGTAATTATTCCAATACCATTTGTGGA